AGCCAATCGCACACGCCTGCCGCACATTGTTGACCGCTGAACAAAACTACGGCCAAATAGAGAAAGAGGTTCTCGCAATCGTCTTCAGCCTAAAGAAATTTCAAAATTCCTTTTCGGCCACCAGTTCACACACCTCACAGATCACAAGCTTCTCCTGGCAATATTCGGCACTATAAAGGGTATCCCGGTACACTGCCAATCATCTCATGCGATGGTCTACCGGACCACTGATTTTGGCCAAGTCAACGGCCTCTCGCGCCTGATTGCTCATCAACGTACCGGCAACGAGGAATTTCTCATCGCAGCAGCCGAAGCGGCAGTGCAACGCAGCCTCACCGATGCAATACGCTACCTCCCTGTCACAGCCACCGATATACGGTAAGAGACTACCAACGATGCCAATATCCGACGGGCAATCAATTTTACGAAAACACAGTGGCCTCCAATACCCTCCGCGGGAGATCTCCCACACGTCACTCGCAGGAAGTATTCATTATCCATCGTCGACTCCTGCCTAATGCTCGATGAACGCTTGGTCATACCTCTGTCTCTGCACCAAATGGTCCTACGCCAGTTCCATTCGGGGTATCCAGCTATCAGCAGCATGAAAACGATTGCACGGGGCTATGTTTACTGGCCGGGCATGGACTCGGATATTGAGCCCATGGTGCAGAATTGCTCGCGTTATCAACAAGTGGCAAAATTTCCGAGTCGCATTGACCCAATACCTTGGACACCACCAGCACGCCCATGGTCCTCTATCCACGTTGCTTATGCAGACCCACTAAACGGCACTCCTCATCATTGTTGACGCTTATTCCAAGTGGCCCGAGCTGATCCCGGTCTCAGCAGCCACATCAACCACCAACGTCAATGCACTCCGCTGACTCTTCGCCCAACACGGTATGCCAGACCAGCTGATGTCCGAAAACGCAATGCAAAAATTCCCTATTCTCATGTTCACACTGCATCCAATAGTCGAATCTACAATCAAATGAGTAATCAAAAGACTGCAACCAAGACCGAGATGCCAAAGTGCAAGATTAATGTTGTATAAGCAAAGGCGAACTGATTGAATATGGTCGGTTGACAGTAGCGAGATAAGGTGGCTGTACAAAGCGTTATCAATTTAAAATACATGTCTCGATCAAACTCGTGCAACAGCACCCTGACTCGCGTCACATTTGTTCCTCCTAAGGCTTAGTGCTTCGAGCCTCCTGCACGGAATTGGATATGACAGTGCTCCACATCGGACGCAACCTACCTGTACTAGTGTCCACTCATGTTTTTACTTCCATTGGTCGCATACCATTAAAATGTCCAATTTCCTGATTTCGACGACGGTTGTTGGTACACCAGTTGTAAAATAAAAAATGTCTCATCAAAAAACTTCATCAGAATTTATTTATAAAAATGACTCATTGGCATGATACAGGTATTGTGCTTTCTTTTTTCAATGATTTATTTGCCCTTTTTTATCCTTGATCAACGGAGACAGTTGATTTTACATGGAGTCCACCAAGTTGACTATCGACCAGCCAGTTTCCTCTAATATGTGCCGTACCCTGGCCACTGACGACCACTGTCGAGGCACCTAACGTATCTCAACACAGTGAAGAGTTACCAATTACACCGAAATCCCAAGTGCTGGGCGGTAATTGAATGAATTCAACATTAGACTTTACCCCTCCAGAAACCGCATAAATATGAAAAAAACATTACTTAATGAGGTTTATCCGTTTTCTACGACAAACCTTAAGTTATACAAACCTTACCATTTCACCTGTTCGCCGAGCTTAGCAATTTGTTTGCAAACGTTTCATCACCAGTCGAGGTGACATCCTCAGTGCTTGTGAAGTGGCCCTCATGCATAGTTCCATGGGTTCGCAAACTGCAGCTGTTTCCATTGGTTGGTTTGGTGGGAGCTCAGGTATCAATTTCCGTAACGTGGATCTTGCCAGGTCTAATTCGATCGAAGTGAACAAACCAAAGATGTCGAACGAGACCATTATTTTGTCTTCTTCGTTGTTGAAAGTTTTGAGCTTTTTCCGGGAACCGTCTTGAGTTCATGGTGCTATCCCCACGTCATGCGGTGGGCGGTTTCACACGTTTCCATATTTCCTTTGCTAACTTGTATGTGGCTGTTCCTGGAAGGGAGACGATCGGCCTCGGGGGAATTCCTTCCTTATGTACCTTCGGCAGTCCGTAGAACTGTGAGACAACGGAGTTTAAAGCTCTCATTCTCCAGTGCTGCTCTTTGGTTCTTTGGTGTAGTCCTTTCAGTCGCTTCAATGTGGTGTTGGTTTTGTTTTCCAGTTTTGCGGTGGGGTCCGTGTCGATTCTGCGGTAGGAGTTTGTTTCTTGGAGTATTTCTTTAGCCTTTTGAATGTAGTCAATTTTGTCCATAACCACAGTAATTCGTCCTTTATCCACTGGGAGGATGGTGATATTTTTGTCCATCTTTAGTGTTTTGAGTGCTTCGTCCTCGCGATTTGATAGCATGTTGTTTTTTCTTTCCGTCACAAGCACTGATGGTGTCACCTCTGCTAGTGATGAAATGTTTGAAAACAAATTGCCAAACTCAGCGAACAGACGAAATGGAATTCACTTCATCCAAGCTACGAGAACCGATTTTCAATACTTTGTCAATTCTAACCTTCATCTGGGAACAATATGACTGCAGTGAACGCATTTCGAGAGTGACAATTGTCGAAAATCTGCATCATCCGTGAAACAAATTTTGTGATATCCAGAGTGGCACGTAGGTGCTGAGCATTTGCTTCTTTTCCAGCTCATTAGGTGTGATAGATATTTACTCTTTTTGAGAGAGAAAATGAAATTCATTGGAAAAATTGGTCGATAGATCAGCTTTCTATACCTACTGCATCGCTCCTTGACCACTAAGGAGACCAAATTAGTTTTCTTTCTTTTTAATTTTTAATCCCTTTTATTTAATACATAGTTATACAATTTTCAGGAAGTGGTGAGCGAACAGTCAAAGGGCTGCCATACAACTAACTTACTGAGAATGGGGAAAGTCAGGCGATGCGGGTGGGATTCGAACACTCGTCCCCCTGGGGTGATAAATTGATGACATTAACACCGGGCCACCACCACCTAACCTAACCCCAAATGAATGGGCGACGCCATAAATTTGTTGGTTAAATCAGTATGTGCTCTCCTTTGTTGGGCGTTCAATAACGGTTTTATATCAAGGGACATCAGTTGTGGCGGTGCACCAAATTGAAAAATAAGCTATTTAGAATACTCATATTGACCAGAATAAACACCCACTTGAAACAGCAATCATTTATTACATAAAGTGAACTTCCATGCTGCTTTGTATGAAATAGTTTTCAACTATGAGCAAAATGTATCTGGACACTCAAGGTCGCGCAAACTTAGACGGTAATACAAGAGAACTAAGAACATTACAGTGGGAAATACGGTTCGGACTAAATATTCTTTACCTATAGCTATGGATATACACGTATGATATTGGAAACTGAAATGTATTTACAAAATGACAGTCATATTGCACAAGTTTGTATAACGGTGGTATGCCGAAGATGTAACTCATGCATGGAATTGATTACCTAATTGATTCTCACATTTGAATAAAACAATGCACACGCGAATGCATCTCGGTGCCAAATTCGATGATTTCGTATACCACATTTGATGCACAAGCTTAAATATCAATTTGGTGTGGCCTGGACGACGCCCATTCATATGTGTACTGGATGCGCAATTGTGCCAAGATCGATGTTTTCAGTTGGCCGATGCGATGCTGGTGCTACACAGTTATGAACAGCAATAATAATGATCACATCAGAACGGCATGATGAATTTGGTCATATCTTGGTTTATGTGTGTTCCTGTTGGACGCATAGAAATTAGGCCCCGAGTGGAGGTCAAACAGACTGGTGGAATCGAATGTTTGAAATAATGATTCTGGCACTGTATGCCAATCACACAATCACGTGATCCATTGATTTATCACTTCACAGCTTTCACATGCATAATAAATAAACTGCACCTCGGGGTATTGTGGAAGCATCTGTTCATGTCCGATGCGTAACGTCTCTCCCCGGGTCTCCCTCGTTCCCACTGCACGTGCTGGTGCACGCAGCTGACTCGTGTCGGCCAGTATCTTTATGTTTGCAGTTCTGATTTATGACGCCTTATCAGAACTCCACGATCGCCCAACAACACTGGTTGCATTCCGTGAACCAAGGGGATGAGGATGAGAGAGAGTGTCTGACTGGATATCGTGTCTAGGTTAGTTGAGTAAAGATCTATTTGTTCATGATAACTTTCCGCACACAAATATATATATATATGCCTAGATCACGATAGTTGTTCAAAATCAACCAGCGAGGGGGCCTGAGAGTCGGGGCTTTGACTTCATTGAAGTTTACAGTTGTGAGCTCTGCAGGAAGGGGCCGCCAACACAAGTGAAATGAAACCAGCCTTAGAGTAGGTGCTATTCAAGTACGAGCTCTCAACAGCAGCGATACGAAGCACGCATTTGTTGAAAATCCGGAAATGGTGTGCTGTACGTATTGTGAATTGCTTTTGGTTCTCATAGAAATCCGCGTAGAGAACAACACATTTTTACGATTGACTTTTTGCCAAAATGACAATTCCAGTTACTATTCCCACTCAGTATTTACTAATTCAATTAAATCTTAGTCTTATAATCGAGATGTTCAGGGCTACTTTTTCAAAAAGGCGGAGCAAAAAAATACAGTAATTCAAGATATGCGGAACGATGGATTTGTCACTTGTAATTGCAGCTCAGATGAGTGTGTACTTGGGGAGAAAAATTCGGTTTATTGTCCGCAATCACGAAAACAATAACCGTTCACCTTCGTCAGCCTGCAAGAAAAAAAGATAGTCGAGTGTTAATCTAAAAAAGTCACTGTGCGAAATGCTTAGGAGAGGGATGAAAACGATTCAGATAGAAATCAGTAAAATTGGGGTTACTTAAAATTGGTGAACTCTTTCAACCATAAACATTTTCCAGTGTACTCCCCTGGCAAACAGACCCACCCGAACGCGATTGATCAAACCTCATATTTCTATTGATTTGTCTAAAATTGTGACCCTGAATGATGAAGTTCTATCGATAATCGCAATTCAATAACTGCAACACAGTCACACATTCGTATTGAGCAAAGTTTCTTCTTGCTCAAGCTGCTCCCGCTGCTGCAGCTGATGATGATGACTCGGATGACGACGACGATGATGATGATAATGATGATTCGGATGTAGATGATGATGATGATGAGGAGGATGATGATGAAGATGATGATGATGATGATGATGTTGATGATGTTATGATGTTAACGATTATGATGATGATGATGTTGATGATGATGATGATGAGGGTAATCGCGGTAATGATGATGATGATGACCGTGATGACTCAATTGATTCGGATGATGAAGATCCAGGCGATGTTTATGATGATGATGAAGATGCTGATGATGACGATGATGATGAATATGATGATGATGATGATGACGATGATGATGAATATGATGACGATGATGATGATGACGACGATGATGCGGATGATGTTGATGATGATTATGATGATGTTTCGGATGATGATCAAGCCGATGATGATGACGACACTTCGCAAGATTATTCGCATGATGATGATGATGATGATGATGTTGATGATGATGATTTGGATGACGATGATGATGGCGACGATGATGACGGTGACTGGGATGAAGATGATGATATTCACGATGATGATGATGATTCTGGTGATGATGATGATGATGCTGATGATGAGGATGATTATGTTGATGATGATGGTGTTGCGCATGATAATTCGCATGATTATTATGACGATGAGGATGATGATGATCGGATGATGATGATGATGATGACGATGATATTGATGATGACGATGATGACGATGATGAAGATGATGATAATGATGATGATGATCATGTTAATTCAAACGATTCCGATGATGAGGATTATGCGGATGATGATAATGATGAATAGGATGATGATGATGATGGTGATGACGACGATGATGATGACGAATATAATGTTGATTCGGATGATGATGATAATGATGGTGATGATGATGAATATGATGATGAAGATGATGATGGTGATGATGATGATGATGATGTTGAAGATGATGATGATGAACATGATTCGGATGACGATGATGATGAAGATGATGATGCTGCTGCTGATGATGAGGATGATGGTGAAGATGATGATGATGACGATGATGATGATGATGATGATGATAACGAAGATGACGATCATGATTATGAACATGACGATAAAGATGACGATGATGATGATGATGATGTTGATGACGATGTTGATGATGATGATGATGATGATGATGATGATTATGATGATCATGATGATGTTCATGATGATGATGATGATGATGATGATGATGATGATGATGATGATCATGACGATGATGATTCGGATGATGTTGATGATGATTAAGATGATGTTTCGGATGATGATCAAGCAGATGATGAAGCTGATGATGATGATAACGATCATTCGCACGATTGTTCGAATGATGATGATGATATTGATGAATTTGATAACGACGATGATGATGATGATGACGAATATGAGGACGATGATGATGATGTTGATGATGATGAATATAATGCTGATGATCATGATGATTTAAATGATTCGGATGATGATGATTATGCGGACGATGATAATGATGAATCGGATGATGATGATAATCATGATAATGATGATGACGATGATGATGATGATGATGATGACTCGCATGATGATGATGATGTTGATGATGGTGGTGTTGCGCACGATTATTCGCATCATGATGATGATGATGATGATGATGATTCGGATGATGATGATGGTGATGATTCGCATGACGTTTCGCATGATGATGATGATGACGTTTTGGAGGATGATGATCATGATGATGTTTGGGATGATGTTGATGATGATGATAATGATGAGTAGAATGATTCGGATGATGAAGATCTTGGCGATGTTTATGATGATGAAGAAGATGCTGATGATGATGCTGATGATGATGATGAAGATGATGATGATGATGTTGCTAATGACGATAATCATGACGAGGATAATGACGATGATTATTCGTAGTATTATTATGGTGATTCGGATTGTGATTGAGATGACGATGACCATCAGGATGAATATGATGATGATGATTTTGATGGTGACGATGGTGATGATGATAGTG